TTAACAATAATCCAATCGAAATGAAATTCCATTTAACAACTTGTAAAAATGATATTAAATTAATTAATTTCAGTATGAGTGATATTTTGCTTTAAAAAACAGGAATATTTGAGNTTAATTGATTTTTAAATATTATACAAAGAAATTTGTCCACTGACCCCCAAAGATCCCTAGTAATTTATCGACCCAACATACAAAATCGATTGATTCTTTAGGAATCACTAGCCACCAGGTTAAAAACCTTCAGCTCTAAAAGATAATGGAATAAAACAATATACTGTATTTAATCTTACAGTTAAAACTCATTTGAATGAATTTGTATGTATAAAAAATATATACCAATTTATTACTTAATTTTCGAAAAAACAAGAGAAAAACCTCATGTATTTAGTTAAGGAAAGTGAAAGCAAACTTTCTAATCCATTTCCTAAATAGTACAACTATCAAATAACTCGGTACGTTTCGATCTGTGACCAATGACATTCGTTAATTACCTAGAACCTATCACGTACATTACCCACCTGAAATATCACAAAGTGATGTGTGCTTATCACACAGTCGTGACCATTTCAAATGCACAAATCATTTTTGTGGTAATATTTAGAAAAATATTTAAATGTCACACATATAATAAATTCATTTTTACATTGTTTTATTAGAAGACGTACAGAAAAACTACTTCTATCATTTAAACAATAAGTATTGTAAAAATACTTAGTGTCATTTGCATACTTTTATAATCCGTTGATGAGGATGGCATTAAAAATTTTCTTTTATTCTAAAATAATTTTTTTCGTCTGAAACTAAATAATAAAATTAATCTTTGAAGGATTTTAGAATTTTTTTAGTAACTTTTTTCAAAAATTTACAAGAAAAACAATGATTCGAATGAAAATTATTAACAATAAAAGAGCAATCTCTAGTAAAGAATGAACAAAAAGGGTAATCTATCTTCGATTTTTAGGTTTTAATTATTAATAAAATAATCTAAAAATACATATAAAAATTTCTCAAATAACATCTTAAATGTAAACAATAGTATTTTCATACCTTTATATATATATTCTCAAAAGATTTTGTGCGTTTAAAATAATAATCAGACACACAGACCCTAGATACAGGAGACACGCAGATCATTTTCCTCGGGGTCCAGACACAGCAGATTCCAAAATTTACTCTTTTATATAAAAGTACGTGACATAAAAGTGCCGAATGAAATAAATAAGAGCTTAAGTGGTAAAAAAAATCTGCTTGTATTTATCTTATTCTCCTGACTCGGAGGAGGGTAAAAGATTAGGCATCTTGCCTTCTCACTATCTCTATGTGTGGAGAATATTTATTTATTCCTCCAAAATACTCCTACAAAATTATTTGAGCATTGTATTAATATATAAATAACTTCATTATAAATAATTATTGATCAGTCAAACAATGTTTTCGTTAATCACTTTAGCATTTGACACTAATTTAATTCAATTTATAAAGAAAATCGTGAAAGCTTTCATAATTACATCTTACATATTTATCTTTAATAAAACGTGTAAAATCGTGATTAATTTTTGTAAGTAAATCATAATTAAACAAATTTGAATAAATTAAATAATAATTTTAAAATAAATTTAAGAATTATTTAATTAAATTAGTCTTATTTTTAATTGTAAAATATAAAGATTTCTCTTGTCTTTGTATACTCAAAGTATTGACGTTGAATGTGCACTTGGAAGTAAAGTATTGACACTTTTAAGTTAATATATTTAAAAAGAAATCATTTTTGTTGTAAATTTTATTCAGAAAAGTCAAAAATAAATGTAAAATAAGTAAATATATTATTTAATGACATTAATAACAGTGTTTTTTCATCAAAATTCGTCTCTCTTTGTTTTTCTGAAAGCTCGAATAATAATCGATTGTAGAAAGAAGCAATTAATGAGTAACGATTCCATGACTTAAAAATTTTCTTATTAGTTCTGAAGAAAAAAGAAAAAAAAACACCTTATTCTAATGAAGTAAAGAAAAAATCTAAGTTTTCTTCAGTTTGTAAATATTTATTAAACATTTTTTTAAACTTATAAAGCTTAATTATTATTAAATTATTTACGTTTGAAAAATTCACTAATTAAACTAGAATTTTTTTTTTATTTTTCTATCTAAAAAGAAATTAAAAATTAAAAAATAGAAGAATAATTACTGAAGTAAGTCAGCACTTCTCAACCTCTATCGTATTGGATGCTTGTTGCATTATAAACGAATCACTTAGGAGTCCGAGAACTACTGATTGAGAAATCAAAAACTAAACGACGCATCCATAACTCAAAAGTATAAAAATTATATATTTTTCTCGGGGGAAAAAAATAAAAAGCTACGATTTATATTCAGACGCATTTCTTTTTATTTTCAATTTTTTTTTCCAAATTTATTCCAAAATGCACCTTCAAATTCCTTTGGGAGGTGATAATTCATACTCCAATGACTCTAAAGTTTTTGAAGTTTGCTTTCAACGCGAATATCATAAAAACATATCTAAATTTATATTCAAAAATCGTTCATTCTCTTCCAATAGATCAATATAAGATGTTTTGTTAATAAATTTATATAATTTAAGAGTTGGTTCTGATTGAACGATTTACTTCGAAGTTTTTAGAAGATAACCCCCTCCAAATTCAGTAGCGTTGAAAAATCCACTTCACTAACATTATATAAGGAGTATAAGACTTGAAAGGAAATCGAATGGTCTGATTATATGCTTTAAAATAATTCTATTTTTATTCGCTCTCATCCATCATTTTTTTTCCTCTCTTGTGGATCGAATCCGTAATCTGCGATCACTTTTCTATCGTTTTTTTGGAATATTCTATCGAAACTTATCAATGTTGGGTTATAAAAATCAAGATAAAGCTTTAATTTGCTCAAATCCAATAGAGAATCAGATGAAACTTTAAAAAAAAAGGACGTTTCGGGGTTACTTTCGGATTCTCTTCGAACAAATCCAGCTAAGCCACTTAACAATAATCCAATCGAAATGAAATTCCATTTAACAACTTGTAAAAATGATATTAAATTAATTAATTTCAGTATGAGTGATATTTTGCTTTAAAAAACAGGAATATTTGAGGATAGGTTTCGTGTCCTCGTTGAAGTAAAACCCAACAAATCCAACTTGGCCACTCAACAACGATCCAATTAGAAATAAATTGCAATTGCTTCATTCTAGCCAATGTATAAAAACAAACATTTGAACATCAATTTAGAGTCCTTCTCGTGGTAAGCCGTACAAACTCCAAATGGCCATTTAACAATAATCCAATTGGAATGAAATTCCAATTTAAAAAAACGGTATTTAGTGAATGAATTTCAATATTCCAAGAATTTTCTTCAAGAAAAATTACTTTAAAATAATGAAATTAATTATTTATCAATAAATAAAATTAACTAAAAAGATCAAATTTGTTTGTAAATACAATTAAATTGGAGTCCAGTTCAAAATCCCAAAAGGTTAAAATCCCTACACGAATAAAATATCGAAAAAATCGAAGTCTGAATATTGTTATTGTTTTTATATATTATTGTTCTAGTGAAAAATTTGAAAGGAAATTTTTATAAATAAATTTCTTCAGATCTCGAAGGACTTTCTGTTGAGTTTTGTACAGTTTAAGCAAAAAGAACATGAAAAGTTGAACTCGACGAATGTTTAACGGCCGTTTTCTGTACCAAACAAATAAACTTAGCTTTACAATAATTGCTTATACAGTATTATGTATTGATGTATTATCAACTAATATAATATTCTGTCCGTACATCTGTAGCTTCGTACAACCGCTTTTTATTTGTAAAACGTGCATTTCTACCTCAACCACGTTGAAATTTAAATTTTTCTTATAACAATTCGTAAACTGATTAACCGTTATGTTTATAATAATTTTTGAGTTTTAATTCATTTATATTCAAGAAAATGAATTACTTCCGGGCTACGAGCCAGTAAAAATTGACGAGTTTCATCACTTTTTTTTAATTCGAAATTCATATAATTTCAATGAAAACCAAATGAAACGTTAATTAATGAGCCTTTTGACAGTGCTTTGATACTGGCTCATCACACAGACGTTTGCAAAAATTTGATAATCATTGATTTTAAAGCGTGTCGAGTTTTCATTTGACGAGATTTTCACAGAATTTTGATCTGATTCCATTAAATTTAATGGTAACAAGAATTTGTTGCATCTCTTTTAATATTTTCCAAGCTCAAAATTGTTGAAAAATGTAAATTCGGGAGAGATAAGGATAAAACTTAAATCAAAAAATATCATGGAAAAATGTAGTTTTTTTTTTCTCTGAATTGATAGGAATCTATCAGAAAAATGTCAATTTTTTACAACAAAAAAAAATTAAGATAAGATCGCCAAACACGTTATTCGTATTAAGGTTACATTTTGAATGGAAGCGCACTGATTGTTGTTAGAAATCCCAATTAGGAGAAGTCACGCTACACTGATTTTCCCGAAATTTGGAGGAATGAACTGAAAATATCCATTTGTAAAACGCACTTTTGAAAACAAAAAAAAATCATAAATATCTCAACTATTGTCTGAAATACAGAAGATGAATAATGCATCCTCGATAGTAAACGATGCAAAAAATGACTTTCCACGTTTCTACTCTGTCATTTCAGCATTTTACAATAAAATTGGTACCTTTGAAGCTTTACTTTTCTTTCCTTCTCCCCATCTTCTGTTCGAGTATCCTTTCACTTTTTTAATTTTTCCTCTTCTTCACTTAACAATCGACAACCCCTCTACTACATTATCGGTTCTTCTTTGAGGAGAGTCGACAAAGTAGGACCCATTTTGATATCTGAGTCGACAATGAAATGACGTCATCATCATTCCGTTACCTTAGGACTAATATTAGGGTTAGATGATGTAATTCGGGCTTCACCTGAGAGCAAAAAGAGGAGGGATTTCCGTGTACTCGGGGAAAGGGGTGTAAAAAAGAATGGCACTTACAGTAGGTTTCCTTGGCAAGTCTGGTCGCTATTTCGGCCTTCAGCTTACTGTTTCTTTTCCCCATCTACAATGTGGCGAAGAGACTGAATACAGAGAGAATCCACTCGCATACCTTCGTCGAGCAACCACTCGATGTATCGCTCTCAACACATGTCCTCCTACCTCTAAATGTGTGCTGCCATCTGTATTTGGCTCGTATAACTAATACCTTGGTTATTTGTAAATTATCCGCTTCGGTGACCAAAGAAAAAGCGTTTTCGTGGCAAAGATGGACGACAGTTGAGGCGAGTGATGCGTGAAGGTCAACTCTTTATCGATTTAAATTCTGCTTTTCACAATCTTTGCGCATTTTTCAAATGGTTTCGCCAATTGTCTTCGACATTCTAATCAGTTTTAAATGTTAAAAAATGTTTCTTGTATCCCTGACTTTTATGCCAAATTTAAAGAAAAAAATAAATAAATTAGCCGTATTAAAATTTTTTCTAAATGTATTAGATATTTCTGATGCTATTAATAGAAATTAAATTTATAAATTACTGAATGTTTACAAAATATTAAATATATTTCGTGTTAAATATTTGCAAATTAAAATTTAATTAATTTTGAATGTAATAAAATTCGTTTTAATTAAAACTCTTCCTTTAACAACTTGAAAATACATGAATAGTTTTCATTGATTAAAAATGAGAAGTAAAAGTTTCAGTGTTATTGCTTTAATTATGTTAAGCAGACCCATGCAAAGGGGCATTGTTGGCCACTCTATCTGGACAGGTGCTGACCAAATGACTCTTTTGACCAACTCCATCTGGCCCACTTTTGTAGGTTATATTAAGTAGCCTGGGCCCAGATAGAAGAAGCCAGTACGACCATATGGTCCGGGCCCTAGACACAGAAGAGGCCCCAATTATTTTTAATGTAAAGTACATAATAAATATTTGATATTAATATATTTTTATGACTTTCGGAGAGGGATGAAATCACGCAAGTGACGGACTTATCTCACTTTTCTCGGTATTTCATATTAAACACACGTAATTAGTGTGATATGATTTAACATTATTATAATTTTTATGGTAAAAACGGTGTTATTGTATGATAAAACTGTATGACGGTCATTTTAATGTTTGATTTAGACGTTTGTAATCTTGAAAATGGTTAATTATCTGTTATAATTAATTACAGTGTACATTAATATGCTAACTCACTCGATCATAATAGTTATAATAAATAGTAATGCTATCGTAAAATTCAAGTATATAAACTACATTACCTGAAACAAAATTAAAAGTACAGAAAGAATGTAAGAAGTAATGTAATCCCATTGGGATCTGAACTCCCGTCCATTAGCAACTCTCATTGGAAGCGATGGACTGTAGACACTCAATATAGTAAATTCTCAAAGGAATGAGATAAATCATTCACTATATTGAGTTCACTCACTATATGCGTAAAGAATAGCTAGTACCAACAAAGATAGAGTAGCCACTGTATATATTTTTCTATTTGAACTTATATTTCTGTAATTAAATATACTGTATACGGTATAAGATTAAGGTTTTTAATTTAAATGTTAGTTTTTCTTATTAAGAAAACAAGGTTGTTTACTTTAAAAAAATAAAATTAAGAATCATAGTAGAAGAAAGGGGTCCTACTAATAACTGAAATTACTAATTTGAATATTATTTGTTATCAAGATGTATTTGACTCTTGGAATTTGAATCCATGTCCATTAAAAGCTATCACTCGGCGCGATGAATACACTTTTCTATCTGGACTTTAGAAGTTGTGAGTTCGAATCATATACGTCCCAGAGGGCAATACGAATATAGAATTCGAACTCACGACCTTAGTATTAACAACGCAACTTTATGTATGAGAGATCTTTTGTGGTTTATACACTGAATTTATACATCTGTATTTTGTTTATTTATTACCGAAGTGAAAGATAATTAATTATATCATAATTGTAAATTCGTATTTTATTAAATTAAATAGAAACTGCCTTAATTACAACTGTTAAGATTATACAAGATATTTTTAATGTGATTAAGAATTTAATCGAATGTCTTAATATGAAAATTTATCAAAATTAACGAGCGTTGGAAATAAATTTAAATAATCTAGATTAATTACATTGTATCATATCATCATAAATTACAAAATAACGTGAATAAATATAAACTCCGGCTTATTGTTCTATTAAAGTTAGATAATAGAAATTCGAAAATATAAACGACTTTGACCTTTTAATTATTTGCTTCAACTTCATTTTTATATTGATTACTCATCCGTAGCTGCTCCTACATTAACTAGTAACTTCATTAGCATATTTGGATGATCAATTACGTTTAATTAAGTAGTAATTAATTAAAAAATAAATTTTTATCTCCGTGGTTTATTTTTATTTCTATATAAAAGTGTTCCCCTGAAAATTAACGAACCGAGACTCAAAGGTTGATCAAAAGATGAGAGATGGAGGAGCGCATGAAGAAGGATGCTGTGAGACGTGGTGTCGGAGATTAAGACTCAATAAAGAAAAAAAGTGACAAAGGCATCATCATCAGTTGGATTGCATAAACCATGTACGACCACAAAAGCCAACTGATGATGATATAACAATAAAATACAATAACAATAACAATAAAACAATAACAATAAAAGAAATACAAAATATTCAGAGAAATTATTCTATTCATTGGCGATTTTATTAATTTAAGATGATATTTATTAAGAGAATGTAACAAAGTAACAAAAAAGTACCAAAATATCTAGAAAATTAAATTACTTATTATACTTCTTAATAGTTTGAGATGATAATGAGGAAGATGAGAATAATAAGAAGTATATAAAATGAATAAAAATCAGAAAAATTATAATATTACATTAATTAAACAATTTTTTCTATGATTAAAATACGTGCAATGATTAATGTATAAGCATTTCACTTATACGTTGTTGAGATCTTATTTATATTGCAAAATTATGTGGTAATATATAAGTAAAATATCAAATTAATTAATTAAATAATATAATAGAAATAATATAAATCATTTTATTTTTTATTCTTTGGAAATAATTTTTTATCATATTTTCAGTTATATTTGTTTAGCTTGCCTAAATATTAATTAATATGTTGATGTGTTTTCAATTGGAGTGAAATAAAAAATGTATAATATTATATTCGATATACATTTTTAATTATTATAGTTTATGTGTTCTTAATATTAATAATTAGCGTCTTTGAAAGGTATAGAAAGGCCTAAAAAGTTGTGTTTTTTAATCTTCTAACATAAAAACGGTAGACTTGCAATAAATTAAATTAATTTTATACCAAGATCGTGTAGAAAATTTCAGTTTCAAATAGTTCATATTATTAATGAGAAATGAAATTTTGGAAATAACAGCAAAACTTGCGATATTTTAGAGCTTAAAACTTAAACGAAAGTTCGAGTTCTACAGTAAGATCTTACAGTAATTGATCCTACAACGAAATGAAGATTTACGGTACAATGCAAGGCCGACTTCATAATTTCAGGGGCGAATGCAAAATGGAAATACAGGGCCTTTCCGTCAGAAATATAAAACAACAACAATAATAATAATATGCGAAAAGATCAAATCGTACCACAAGAATTTTAGCGAATAATTTAATAGCTAGGCAAAAAATGTGCAATATGCAAAAGGAAACTACGTCTTAGCTGTTAAGAACTAGTCAACGCAAGAACTTTATCTCTCGCATCTTGGATGCAATTTTAGTATTACATTTTAAATTATACAAATTGTTCATAAGACTCCGTTTTCTAGACTTTTAGTCTGCTAACACTTTGTCAAAGTAGCATCGTTTTCTTTATGACAAACGCCTCAACAGAGACACTACAAATGTCAAACTGCTCGTCCCTGTGTCGAGGCTATTGTTCGTGACGAAATCGCTCAACTTGGCTGGGAGGTACTCGGCACCGAACCTTCAAACTTTCATCTGTTCAATCCAGTGAAAAAATTCCTGTGTGGGCAATCGGATGACGAAACGAAATCGGTCGGGCGCAGTTGGCTACACGCCCAAAAAACGAGTTTTATGAACAAGGTATACTAAAATAGGTGCCAAGATCAGAGAAATGTCTCGAGGGACAAAATTCTTATGTTGAAAAATAGATAAGACACGTAACTTCTTTGTTCGTATTTTACCTAGCTAATCGTAAAAACTTCCTTCCTGTGCGTTACTTTCTGATCTTTTCTCGTACTTTCAAATATTTACGAAAGCACGTATCCGTGAAGTCGATCCTGCTGCAATGAAACAAAGATCGTTCTCTATTACAGAGTCAATAATTCCTAGAATATAAGATCCTTGAATATTATATAACATTCCATAATTTTACAGATATCTCCTATGATAATTTATCAATCATTCTATAATTTTTAATTTCAAAAATGCTTAATTTATATTCGATAATAAACCTTAATTTATTTATTAGTATTCGACTTTTGTTGCTTATTTTATTATAGAAACTGTATATAATGATATCATTAATATTGTAAATTAATATTACGTGTTTATTCTTTCATAATAAGCAAAGAAAGAGTATATTACTCTATAGGAAGGGAGCAAAATTAGAGAAAAGGGGAGATCGGCATTATACTTACGATTTCTTTACTTAGAAGAAGATCAGAGTAACGAAAACTTTGCTCATTTAATAATTGAATATTCTCTTAAATATCATTTTAATTTAGATTATTTTTAATATCTAAATCAGTAATTAGAATTTCAATCTTTGTATAATACTAAATAACAGTGATTTTTCATTAAAAAGTGGATTATTTTCACATAAATGACTTAATATTATAATAAATCTAATTCAATTAATAATTAAAATTTATTGATTTAAAACTATTTATTAATTATTAAATATTTAAATAATTTTAAGTTTTTAAATCATCTCGAAGTCAATTAATTTACTTATAAGATATTATCTTGTTTACTCAATGTAATAATAAATATTAAATAAGAATATTTAAAATATTATTGTAATAAAATTATTATATCCCTGACATGTATAGTATTATAAACTTGAATTCAAGCTTTTTTGTGTGTAATTTATACCAACCGATAGTAAAGTATCCTATTCAACCCTTGAGAGATATTTAGCAGTCTAAATGCAACTAAACTTGGTATGGCAACATTTCAGGACGTGCAAAAGACATTCAAAACACTCCACTATGTTTTACCACTGCAAGCAACAAACATTTGTATAAGGCACTCGTGTTTTGCAGAGACCTCAGCGATGCAGGAGATACTGCTCAATGTGGTCTTATTGATTTTATTCTTATAGTATAAATTCACTAATCCGACCTCTAAAAAGTAGCCGATAATCTA